TGACAAGTCACAGGCAGTGTGGCATTCTTAAACTATGACTTCCAAACTAACACACCTACGATATATCCTTCCGATATTTTTTTTTCAAGTCTAATGTCTTATAATGTCATAACTAAAGTAGGGGTTTTTTAGGCATTTTTGTTATTCTTATTATTAATTTTAAATCCTTTCCGCTGTGTACAGCAGATAACAAACCAATTAACTTAATAGTGTGTTTCCACTGGCTTTGTTAGACCAGTTAACTTACTTGAGATTTAAGTAATTGAAGAAATGTCAAGTAAGTTAACTGGTCTAACGAGGCCAGTGGAAACATAAGGATCTAGTAATAGTACGTTTCCACTGGCTTCGTTAGACTACTTAACTTACTTGAGATTTAAGTAAGTCAAGCAATGTCAAGTAATGTCAAGTAAGTTAATTGGTCTAACGAAGGCAATGGAAACGTACTATTGCTGGATCCTTATGATCACAGTAATAACTTAATCAATTATGACTTCTAAAATTTCAACAACAATAGACAAGAATAGTTGATCCACATTTTGATGAGTAACAACAAAAATAAATGAAAAGTTTCAACTTCCATCTAATCTCTAGCATTTTCAGTGTGTTCAGTGAAAGCAAAAGATTTAAAAGTTGATGATTTTTCTCCATTTCTTTCTGAAATCTAAGCGCACTACTAGTGTCATTTTTACCTCATAAAGCTGGAGAGCACATCATTTCCATACAAATCACATAAACACCCATTAAATCATGAAATAATTTTACTTAAGCCGAGTTCATTGCTTTTTCCTTTTCAAGCCAAGTTAATTATTCGTATGACTTAAATAATGAATAACGTTTAAAAACTCTTACTTACTACACCTACTCTTTAGTTTTATTTATTATTATTAACTTAACTTTTTTTTAAACAATTATTTTCAATTATTGATACTAAATAAACAATAAAAATGAAAATAATAATAATAATAAAAATCGTGTTACTTACATTTTCCTTTTATGTAAATCCAATTATGCCAATCCAATTTGCAGTAAGCAAAGCACAAAGCAAAAACAAAAAAACAAACAAAAAACGTAAGATATCCAATTCAACAATTATTGGTGTTGTTGTTTTTGCTGCCTCTGTTGCTGCTATTGTTGTTTGTATTGCTTTGAAGTGATTTTTTTTTATTTTACACTAAGAAATTAACTCACAGTGTAAATTGCAATTTTTAAAAAATTTCTAATTTTACAAAACCTTTTTTTTTGTTTTATTGTAAAATTCACTTAATTTTATTTAAATTTTTACTTATTTTATTAACAAAACACGAATCAAGGAATTTTAACTTTTATTTTCTCGTTTTACTTTTTACCTTTTCTTCACGTCGAAATCATTGAACACACACACACAAATGCAAGCGAGCGAGCCACAAAAACAACAAACAAACACGAATGCACGATCGGGAACAGGTAGTTTTGAAAATTTCAGATTTTTTCTTGTTCAACTTGTGATTTGCGCGTTTTAAATCACTTGTTTTAAATTTATTGTGATTATTTTAAACTTATTAACTCTTTATATAAAATACAACAAAATATAATAGTTCATAATCACTTAATAGAATTAATTAAATTGAAATTATTTTACTGATGCAGCAAACAAATTTGGAGGGAATCACTTAATACAAAATCATTGAATTATTTTTGCACACAAATAAAACAAATTGAAAATAAAAATTAAGAGTAAATGAAATCACATAAATTAAAACTTTGATTTAGTTTTATTAAATTTATATACAAAATACTGTTTTTTTTTTTGCTGATTATGTTGTTAACGGTAACAAGTTTATTTTCGTTGTTGTTGTTTTTTAAAGTAACGTCTCGCGGAACCAACACGTCCTCTTTCGAGCACAACAAAATGCACAATGCGACCGCAAAGAAAACTGGAAAATGTTTTCATACAACATGTCTTAAGCAGAGTTGCCAAGTTACAATGTATATGCCAAATTGACCGTACAAAAAACTATAATTTGAATTTTTAAAAATTATATGTTAATTTACGAAATAGCTCGAATGTTTTTTAATAATATATATATTTTTAAAGGAAATACACTCGTTACTTAGATAGTTAGTGTACTTTCAAAATTAATACTAAATCTGTATAAAAGCTGTATATATACACTTACTTCATTTTCGATTAATAAATCTGTATTCAATCTGTCAAATTTCATTGCGCAATCGATTATTTTTAGTGTGATCTAAAATTTTTGTAATTGTTTGTAAATAAACTAATCGAATTAAAATGTTCACACTAACATCTGATTGTCACATGTGGAACCAAATCAAACTTTTTTATTTTTGAAATCATATAAGACAGCTGTTAATTTCAGAATAATCTTTCTGCCATATCAAAATATCTAGAGTGTTATAAATTAATCTCAGGTGTTAAACATTAATCTTTGGAATCCAAATTTGGAATGATTAACCAACTTTTCTCCAACTAAATATCAGATGTAATGCACCAATGGTGAAAGAATGACAATATGTTATATGATTACACATACTAGTATGACAGTACCACATGTATTTAATAAAGGTTTTGTTTTCTGATTTAATATTGAAAAATTCCTTACTCCCAACCTCATTAGCGACTTCCAGCGTATCCTGAATGTCCTTAAGTATATAATATAAGGTACACACTTTACCAACCTATATCAAATTTTTTTGTTTTTCTCTGTTCATCGCTAGTTAGAATATATAACTTCTAATACTTTTTTCAGCTAGCATAAAGTTGAGTCAATCTGCCATCTATCTTGATCTTGGTGCCCGATATCGTTGAAATTGGGTCAATCTCTACACAATTTATTGTTATTTACACTTAGCATTTATGTAATTAACAAGAATTTCCAATTAAATGTTTACATGTGACAACTCAATTAAGTATGAAGTACAATTATGAAAGAAGAGCGATGTATTTATTAGGGATCTATTGGCGTAAATGCCTTCATTTATTTTTTTTTTTAACAATTGCTAAAATATAACTTGAAAATCCTGTTTTCTTAAAAATTTCGATTTGATGCTCATTCAAATGTCTTGACGCATCTTGAGTACAAGATTTTCCACCAGACATATCAAATTTTTTCTTTCCATAACTGCAAAAGTATCAATCTTATATAATTATTCAATTATAAAATGATAACTTAAAATGATTGAACACACTTATATTAGGCTTCCAGGGCGTTAAATTGTTATCTTAGCTTATTCCTAGATACTTTATTCTCACTTCTTTTTAAGTGATTTGCAATTTCTCTGTTCATACATCTAATTTTGAGTAAATCTCATAACATGCCAATATTTTCCGCCTACAAATCTTACAAAAGTCTTAAGACATACTGCCTTGAAACATTACGATGATGCCTCTGTTTAGAGCATCTTGGATATTCTGGGAGTAATTATTTATAGGTGAATTTTATATGTTAATTTAATTTAAGAAACTTTGCTCATAGCTTTTGTCATTAGGATCTTTTTGTGACCGAGAGTTGGTTATGTTTAACTTCGGAATGTTATGAGTCCGAACTTTCGAATTTAGATATGCAAATGTTCATTTGAAAATAAGATAAGGGAATCAAAATGGTTTTTACAAAAAGTGGTGATACATAAAACTAATATCTTAGAAAAAATTCTTAATACCCCCTTTTTATTAAAAGATATTATCATTAAATAAAATGAATTTCATTTCTATATTGAAATTCGCTTTCCAAAGTAATTCGCGGTTTTATTTACTGTGTTCTTTTATCAACACAAACGCACGTGGTTGCCACACTGCCATATTTCGAAACATTCTCTTATTTCAAATTATTATTTGAATGTGTGTGGTGTGTTGATATTTTTTGAATCGCTTATATATGAAAAATTCGAATAATTATAAATTAATTAAATCAATATTGTGTTATTCCGACGTATGTTTCTATGTGTCCATACTGGTTTGTCTATTGGGAAAATTTTAAAACTCAAAAAAATTGTTATTGTTATTGTTAAATGACGACAATTATATTTTTCATATCTATTGGTAAAGGAAGCAAGAAACAGGTAAATTCCATAATATCATATAAGCTACTGTAATATTTTGTTAATTTTCGTTGTGATCTGATTGTGTTTTAAGAAAACTCATATTAAAATCGAGACTTTTAGTTTATCATGAACTACAAACTTCAATCATTGAATAATTGCGAAGATTATGAGGAATACTCAAATTAGTCAGTGAGATGGATGGGACTCTACAGAAACCCCCAACCATCATAGACTACCATCAACCATGCACTAAGTCGGAAAAAGCTCATCATAAGAACTACAAACTAAAATGGTTTATTAGTTCCTTTCCATAAATATAATTTAAATGAAGATAATCAACAGCCAAATATAATATATATCAACATAAAGAAAGTACGAATATAGGTCAAAAAATATCAATTTAATACATGTCTGTTATGATAATATGCTAACCATAATGATCAACCGTTCCTGTCTATCTTATATCAGATATGTCAAAAATGTGAACCTCATACTGATCCATTTGTTTTGATGCCAAGGAGCCAAGGAAGACATAGGAGCTTAGACAGACTGAAAATTTTAAAATAGTTCAGTCGCGACTGTTACTTGAGTCAATTAATCTCTTGTTCTCTAGCTAGCGATAATGCAATATTTCGGAATCCATACTCGTCCTTAATGATTGCAATGATATGTCTTTATATTTTCACATTTACTATAATAATCTTGTATGGAATTGTTCTATCCATTTTACGATGTACAACAAGGAATAAAATAACCTTATAATCGATACCTCTTTTTATATATTTCTACTTGACCATAATACCTCTAGTGCTGTCTTATAATGCCATTCATATAAAATTAGGAGAAATTAGAGTCCATGTCGAATCTGTTGAATAATTTGTTAATAAAACTTTAAAGTACAATTATTAATTGAATTCGTCAAAAAAAAAATCTTTATTCTATTAAATATATTTTTTAGCTAAACATTTACACTCTATTGTAAAAATATAAAATAAATTTGCCCTAAATTGTAAATTAATTTTTCTCGAGTTTTACTGCTTTATTTGCTCTGACCTATTTAGATCCAAGTTGTCTAGTTTTGATTTAGAATCGTCACTGGACTTTTTGTCACCATCAGAACTTTTAGTATTTTTAGGATATTTAAAAAGGCTTCTGTCACCTTTCAGTTTTACAGGCATCATTTCCATTTCATGTGTTTCAACTGGAAGTGCGCTTCTACGCTTCTCCACCCTAAGTCGCTGTTTCGGTACAACCACATAGGGCGTGTTACCACCAACTTCGAAATTATGCTCCAATCTATTAATATTAAGAGTAGATTTTGTCTCTTCTTGCACTTGTAAAAACGGTGAATCATGCATAGCGCCTAAGCCAACCCGCTGTTTAACTTCGTACATAGTCTCTTGTGCTACTTCACGTGCTTTATCGGCTCCTAGCTCTAACAGATGTATAAGGTCATCTTTTCTACTCATTTCATCTTTAATTCTGTCTCGAATTGGTCGTAAATGTTCGACCACAGCATCGGCAACTCTAAGTTTATATTTGCCTGTATCAATGGTTTTTGCCTCTTCTACAATATTCTTAATTGATTGCCCAGTTACCAAGGAGTGTATGGCAATTATATTACTCACACCCGATCTTTTGTCTGGATCGTAGGCAACATCCGAACAGAAATCAGTAACACTTTTTTTAATTTTCTCTACAATCACTTCTGGTTCATCTGTTAGATAGATAGTGGCTTTTGGATCTATATCGGATTTTGACATTTTTTTACTTGGATCTCGTAAGGAACGTATACGTGATGCCACTTTATTGTCGATCATAGCGTGACAATGTGGAAACGTCATGCCAAATTTGCCATTAAATATTTTGATAAAATGTTGTGCCAGTTGTATATGTTGCACTTGATCGGCTCCCACAGGAACATGTGTCGCTCTAATAATTTAAAAACTTTAATTTTTGCTAAACTTAATTCAAAATTTCATCTTACTTGTGCAGCATTATATCGGCGGCCTGTAGTACGGGATAAATAAACAGCCCAAGCGGTATGTCTTCAGTAGAACGTGCTTTTTCTTTGTACTGCGGTAAATGACCTAAACGTGCCATAGTAATCAAGCAACCTAGAATCCAAGAGAGCTCCGTATGTTCTTTCACTGCAGATTGTACAAACACTTTGGAACGGTCAAAATCGATACCGCAAGCGATCATTGTAGCGGCTACTTGGAAAATATTTTCCCGTAAATGTGTTGGAACCTAGCATATATGCATTTTCATATAATATATATATTTGAAATTAAATTATAAACATTACCTGAGGTAGAGTAATGGAATGCATGTCCACAATGCAGTATGTAACATCTTCACTGTTATTTTGCAATTCCAACCATTTTCTTACGACACCTAAGTAATTGCCTAAATGCAAGCCTCCAGTGGGTTGTATGCCTGAAAATATTTTCTTTGGGGGGTTAAGTACCTGCAAATTACAAATTTTAATATATATAAAATAAATTTAATATTATAAATTATTATAATTATTTACTTACATCGGGTTCAGGAGTATATTTGTTGATAAACGGTCCTGAACCAACATAACGCGGTGATGGATTAAAAACTCGTTGCGCGGCGGGGTAAGAGTGTTTACTTATTCCATTAAAACTCCTCAAGCAATTCACTAGGCTTTGCATAATTATTTTTAATTTTTATACAACATTTAATTCAATACTTTTTAAAAATATATTCTTTTTACTAAATGCAAGCAAAACGTTTTATAATCCAAAATTAAAATGAAAAATTTCTATTATGTCAAAATCATATGTTGTAGATTTATCCGTAAATATCTCGCACAGCTGTTAGGAGTTGCACAAACACAAGCGCGCTTTTAGGCGTGCAACTAAATTTAGAGTTGCCAGCAGTGTAATACGTACTAAATAATTTACTTATTATAAATTATATGTCAAAGTTAATATACTTAAAAGTATACTTTTACAAAATTTAAATAAAATATTTTCGAGTAAAAATTTTACTTGTTTTATTTATACGTTTTTTGTTTTAATTAATATCACAGCTTACTCTAACAAAACTTTAAAAACCTTACGTTTTAGACCAATATGCGGTTGTCTACTAAATTAGAGACTAATAATTTATGTAGATTAATACATTTTTATTAAAAAGATATATAAAGGTACATCCATACCAAAGCGAATGAACAAACTTTTGCAGGAACCTGCGAATGTTCGTTCGTTCGCAAGCGTTCGCTTTGGTGTGGATGCACCTTGATATAGACGTGCATGCAAGATATTGTTAAATATATGTACAAAAAGATTGCTAAGAAATCGTTTATGCTAAGATGCGTACAACAATCTGAATTTGTCCATTTGTGTGTCCAAACCTCCAGTTATCTACTAACTTGAACTTTGTTACTGTCATAGCTCCATAACCATTATATGGTTATCGACGCATGCTCATGGTGTACTGCCTAATGACAATACTCGGACATGATGAAGATTAGTTACCAGAGAAACGCCAAAACAATATATACTTAGCCCTACAGACTATAATCTATAAGATGGCATACTTTAACCCCATCCGGAAACTGATAAAAATAACTAAATAGGAATGTGAAATGAAAATAAAAAATACTAATATTTATATTTATACTAATATTTATTAAATGAAATTTTTGAGAATAGAAATGAACATTTAAGTATCAAAGTAAAAAAAATAAACTTTTAATTAAATTATGATTTAAATTATGACTTGTAGACCAAATTTGGTGAAACGTTAAAGAATGTAAAGAAAAGTGACAAAAGAACAGTGTAGTGTATGTCTTATAGCAAATCATGTTCATATTCAAATTCTATTAAAAATTTATACTACAAGTATATCAATGAACTTAACCACTCCATCTCGATAGAACGGATCCACAAATCGATTGAGTTTAGATAAGTATGTACAGTGGCATAAAGGTACAAATAGAAAACGCAACTAGAAATAGAATTACGTTTGGAACTCAATCTAGTTCTAAGTTATATTCCAACACAGCTTTACTCTGGCTTCAGTTGAATTAAAACAGTTTTTAATGGATGAAGAAGTCATTTCTTTCTTAGATATATCAAAGCAAGATGAATGTGAAAGTGTGTGAAAACGCAACTAGAAATAGAATTACAGTTTGGAACTTAATATAGTTCCAAGCTATATGCAAACAGAGCTATACTCTGGCTTGAGTTGGATTAAAACAGTCTTTAATGGATGAAGAAGTCGTTCTTTCTTAGACATATCAAAGCAAGATGAATGTGAAAGTGTGTGAAAACGCAACTAGAAATAGAATTACAGTTTTAAGCTCAATATAGTTCCAAGTTATATGAAAGCAGAGCTATACTATGACTTCAGTTGGATTAAAACAGTTTTTAATGGATGAAGAAGTCATGTCTTCATTAGATATATCAAAAGTCAAATGTTAAAGTGTGTGAAGCCTAAATAGCAATTGCTTACAGATCAGCTTGTATTTCATTAACAAGAAATATATGGGATGCTGTGTGAAGATGGCGTACTTTCGATATACGATGCTAGTATGTGTAAACCAGCATCTACGAATTTAAATATGTTTGAATATTATTATTTTATGTGTCACAAATCTATTGCGTGGTGTGTGTTTTCTTCTCATTCTTATTCGAGATAAATAAAATGTCAACATATATATGTAATACTCATTCCTACATATCTTGAATATTCCTACATCTTGAATGATGTATTAGTTAAATGATGTTTTGAAGTATGATTACGGTTATGACCTGTTGCGAGGAATAGCTAAGATCCGGGAAACTTAATAAACAAATAAGTATGGCTACAAAATTAGCGTATATTGAGTATGATTAGTAGGCATTCGGATATTTTGGAATAATGATAATGATGACGGAACTAAGGAGTGTAAAAGTAAAAAATATGGGAGTATTAATTTACTCCGTACCAAGGAACTTTACCACCTCAGTGAAATTAAGCCATAAGTCAGTCTGCTATAATTGTGTGGGTATTAGATGACTAGAATTGAATATATGGACGACAACACTAGGTCCACAATTGTCATTTAGGCATACAACAGGATATCGTAATAGTTTGTATATTCTCTCCAGTGTTTCTTTTTTCTCTTTCTCCACAAAAAGCCTGCGAGAGGACACCTTCTACATAGCAATATATTTTATCAGCAAAAGAGTTATATCTTTTTGATTTTTGAACACAGCATTATTGCAGAAAGTAACTTTGCAATATTAAACTAAGCATTTACTATATACTTATTTAAATAGCAGGTACTATGTATTACGTTTAAATTGATTTGCTTAGAATTAAAACTAGCACCATTTTTTGATCTCACCAATATTAGATGTGATACTTTCTATACAAAGTACTTAACATTGAACACTGCTTGTCTAATCAATCGATTTTCAGTTATATGATTATCCAGTTATATGTGAAGTTAGGTTGGATGAGCAACTTTGTGCATAAAAAATTAACTCACCACAAATAATGATATAACGTATGATATCACAGTCCGTATTACAGACTGTAAGAAAGAATTTTGAAGCATTTATTCAAGTAGAAGTGAACCAATTTGAACGACGATAGTTCTGTCGATACAGAAAAGTGACCAATATATTTTGAATGCTTCTCTAGCCAATGTTGAGCACTAAGACATGAAGTAGAGTGCAGTTTGCTCTTTATCCACAGAGTTAAATGGAGCTTGACAGGATACGAGTTCAATCCTTGATACCTGCAGTCTCAAAAATTATTTACGAATAACTAAATATAAGAAATAATTCCAAAACCAGTGCAGATGGCTATTTGGCAATACTCGAAACAGCTGTATAGCCAAAATACGTGCCTATTAAAACAATAGTTTCTATGAAGAAACATCATACCTGATGTTTCATTCTTTTGTCATAATTAAATTTAATAAAGTAATTTAATTTTTATAGAAACTTGTGAAACAGCATATGTTAGTGCATTGGTAAATTGTTGTAAGTATTATAGATGATATAATTTGATTAGAGATAAATGGCATTAATAGATAACCTCTTAAAGACGAGTTTCCGAAGTACATTTAAATCGTTCTGGACTAATATGAAAGAGTAGGTGTTGTATTATAATAAGCAGAATTGTTACACAAATCTGCTTAACGTCTTAATTGAGCAATTAAAACATTTCCATTTTTATGTGAATTTAATTCCAATTTATTTATGTAATGTAATATTCGTTAATCACTTCCCACAAAAATCTTTTCAGAGCTTTTGTAGTTTTAACACTTTTCAATTGTCAGACAATGAGATATCGAGATGGCTTTAAAATCGTTTCAATTTTACGCAAGTTTATACACTGAAGCAAAAAAATAAAAATAAAATAAAATAGATAATTTAATTAAAAGTTAATGGGTTTTCCAAAAGCGGCAGCAACGTTAGCTTCTCTCAATGCCTCTGCGCAAGTCTGAAATAAAATAAGAATAATTAAAATTAAATTTCAAAAAAATAATAGTTAAATTATTATTAAACACACTTACCGGATGTGCATGACAAACTCGAGCAACATCTTCAGCGGCAGCACCATATTCCATAGCCAATACGGCTTCATTGATAAGTTCACCCGCAGACTAAAAATGTTGTAAAAGTGTTACTTTCGAACAAAACTTAAGTTTAATATATATTTTTAACACTTACGGGACCAATGATATGTGTGCCCAAAACTCTGTCAGTTTTTTTATCAGCTAAAACTTTCACAAAGCCATCGGTATCATTGTTGGTTTTTGCACGTGAATTAGCAAGGAATGGGAATTTGCCAACTTTATATTCAATGCCTTCTTGTTTTAGTGCTTCTTCTGATTTACCTACCCACGCTACTTCAGGGTGAGTATACACAACACTGGGTACGCAATTGTAGTCGATATGCACAGGCATACCATGCATTCCTTCCACACAAATAATACCTTCGTCTTCGGCTTTATGTGCTAACATAGGTCCATGTATACAATCACCAATAGCAAAAATGCTGGGTACTATTGTTTGGAATTGTCCGTTGACTGGTATACGACCTTTATCATCCTTTACAATGCCTACAGCTTCCAGGCCCAAACCTTCAGTGTATGGATGTCTTCCAATCGACACCAGCAGTGTGTCGCAAGCGATTTCCTCCTTCTCACCAGATTTAGCATTTTCAACAGATACGGTTACGCTATTACCACTTCGAGTAGCTCCCATAACTTTCGTACCAAGTTTAAATTGAAGACCTTGTTTGGTTAGAATTTTTTGGAAATTTTTGGCAACATCGGCATCAATGCCCACACCACCAATCGACGTCATAAATTCAACAGCTACAACTTCGGCACCTAAACGTGACCAAACTGAGCCCAATTCCAAACCAATGACACCAGCACCAATAACAACCATTTTTTTTGGTACTTGTGCAAGTTTTAAAGCACCAGTACTGGAAACAATGACTTCTTCGTCAATCTACGTGAAAACTTCCAATTGATATAAAACAATATTAGCACAATTTTATTTAATCTTACTTGTATTCCTGGGAACGGTGTAACTTCAGAACCAGTTGCAATCATAATATTTTTCGCTTTCACTGTCTCTACACTGCCGTCGGATTTTTTGACTTGCACTTCATTGGCACTGGTGATTGTGCCGACTCCTGTGAGCTGTGTAATTTTATTTTTTTTAAAAAGTTGTGCAATGCCGCCTGTAAGCGCTTTGACGGCAGTAGTTTTTTGTCCCATCAAATTTTCTAAATTCAAAGAAACACTTCCACAAACAATGCCACGTTTCTCTAAATCTCCAGAGTGCGCCATATGATAATAATGTGAATTATTTAATAATGCTTTTGATGGTATGCATCCAACATTTAGACAAGTGCCACCAAGTGTTGCTTCCTTTTCCACACTAACGGTCTGCAAAAATTAAATGCAAATTCAATTTAATTTATTTTTTTTTAATTTTATTAAATAAATACCTTCATGCCCATTTGGGAGGCTTTAATAGCGGCAACATAACCACCAGGGCCGGATCCAATCACTACCAAATCCGCTTCATGTGCTGTGGAATACGACCGACTGTTCAATGCACCGAGTATCGCACTGTTTGTACGTAATGGTGTCTACGTAAAGAAATTAGAAAATTAATAACAAATTTTAAGAGCATTTGTTATCGCTGTTTTGTGACGTCATACGTGATTTATCAGTTCGACAAGAAACATTGACATTAACAAATACAAGTCACCTGATAAAAAAATTACTGGTCACTGTAATTAGTTCAAATAATATACTAAACAAGTTAAACCACTTTATTTGAAACGGAATATGTGCACTTTATCCATTTTATGCATATTTTATCTGTATATAAACATATATGTATGCAAATAATAATATCGATTTTGATGATGTAAATTCTGTTCGTGTGTTATATTAGCAGCATTTATTGTTTTGATATGCACTTTAGTTAGTGTTGAGTATTACCACTCATTGCGACACGACAACTATGTTTAATTAGTATCAGTTATTTCATATAACATCCTTGCTCAATTTCCGATATGAGGTTAAAATGATAATTGCATAACCAATAAAAACCACCGAAGATGATCACATAATTGCATTTGAAGTTATCAATTTAAAAAATGCATTATCTAGTTATTTATACACACTATCTCACCTGAATCGCAGCTGCAATAGCATTTCTTAAAGTGCACTGCATTTTATTATATTCGTTTTAAAAGGATTTGGAAAAAAATATTTCTACCAAACAACTTTTTTGGTCAAGCACGGCCGTCTTAAGAGACAAAAACTGACAGTTGACAGCTTCACTGTGTAAAAAACAGTGTAGGAAAAGACAAAAAACTGAACAATCCATTTAATAAATAATAAGTAAGAAAATATTTATTTTATTTTATATATTAATAACAAAAATATAATAAATAAATTGTATAAAATTTAGATAAGGGCCGTATTATATAGACAGTAAAGATACTGTCAAATGTGAAATCGTTGTTTTCAATGTGAATTTAAATATTGAGAGCGTAAATAGCCAGCATTTTATGATTTTTTATATAAAAATAATAAACATAGACTATAGAGTCTACAGCTCCAATAGTATACATATATTCATACATAGTTTAATTCTATTCGATTTATGATTTATACGAAATTCTTATTTATTTAAGTGAACAAGTGTACCAAGTATCAAAAGTTTGAGACACACAACTTCTGATAATTTTACTTTACAGCCAAAAATATCGAAAGATAAGGTCTTTTTATAGTAAAGTATTTCATAGAACTTGAAAATCATAACGATTTTTCTTTATATTGATTTTTCTTAAATCATTACTCCGCATATGTCCCCATAAGTTTTTTTAGTTATGATGGCTATTACATATAATTAGGTGTTTAGTAATTAGCAACACATATCATATATTCTATTGCAAATTAAAGAAAACGGATTATAATGAATGGAATTCGAAAACATTTTATTATATTAATTTTTAAAAAACAAAACAGAGAACTATTGTCGTTTAATCGCAATATTAAATAATTAATTTTGTTATAAATATGGATTATTAAATCTGCATTTTTTATTAATTAGAGTATTACTAAAAGCTAAATAATTTTCGTCAGACTAGTATACTTTTCAACACTCAATATCTTGAACTACCACCACCACCGCCACTACCAATACTGTTTATAATTTATTTGACAGGTCATAACTGACATTTCGCTTAGTCCAAGATGGCGATAGAGTTGAGTTTGTAAAGATTGCAGTTTCTGTCTGTGCTTCGTCTAATAAATAATGCGGACAGGCGTGATAATAATATAATTAGTAGCTTGTAAATGAGTTTAAATGTTTTTATATTTTTATTAAATGATTACTTTAAATAAAGTGATATTCTTTATGTAAAATAAATTTTACGTTATAGAGTTTACGCATATTTGCAAAATCGACACCAATATAAAGGCGAAAGTAAAACTTAAACGAGGCTATTCTCAAAAATCTTACAAAAAATTCGTTACCATGCATTACCTCGGGACTTAGTAGTTGTTTTTGTATTTAAACAAAATATATGTTATAGTTTCTAAAGTTACACATAAATTAAACTATTTAATTTAAGCAACGATACAATAAATTGCTCGAAATGATGAATAACTATAATAATATTTTAATGGGCGATCAGTTCCGAAAAATGGATTCGACATATTCGCCGAAGTCTTCGCCGCACGGTGGTCGCTCACCTGTGGTATCTCGACAAGATTCATCGGGCACATTAAAGACTACAATATCCTTGGGTAAAACGCCTACCATTATTCATACAGGACCTTTTTACTCAATGAGGGAACCACCTGGTATGTAAATACTTAATATTCATTAAGTTAGTTAATTTTGAATATTTTTTTTATAGATAAAGTAATTATTTTGTTAATTTAAAACAGTGTCCTTTAACGATTTTTGGAATATAAAACCATGTGGATTAATAAATTTTTTTTTGTAGTCCTATTTAAAAAAAATGTTAACTGAAATTTCCAGAATGTCTGTGAATTATTAAGAGGAAGAATAAATTAACCACGTTTTAGAAATTTAAAATATTTAATTTTCAAAAAATAACGAATGTTTTTGCAACAATATTTTTTTAATTATTAATATTAGTTTCACTTTCTTGATGATAGCAATGCTGAAATAGTATTACTATGGCAATTATATATGAAACAGTAAAAATAATTGTAGAAAAATAAAATCCTAATTGGAAAAAAGTTGGAGACAATTAGGTCTATAAAAAAACCTATCCAAATATGATTATAAAGTTATAATGTTATGATAATATAGGTATAAAGTCTGTCTTTGATTCAAGTGAATTTGAAATTCATAATTTGAAGTATATTGCTACTGTAAAAGCTCCACCAAACAGAAAGTTATAAATCTAGCGCGGATGCCTTATAAGTTTTTACCTTGGTTTCTGTTGTTGTTGTTGTGGTAATTAGTGGAGTTCTATATAGAATATAGCATGAAAGGAATTACAAATAATTATATAGGGTTTAGGATATGGTTAGGTAAGGTAAAGAAAATATGATCTACTCTATATTACTTTCTTATTGGATACTTTTAAATATTTGTTGTTATAAATATCATATCATTAAAGGTAATGATAAGCGGCAATCAAGTCAGGAAATTCTGCAAATCATTTAATCACGTATATATTAAACAGCTGAATTAATTTAAAGATTCTCATTTGCCGATATATTTACCATATATTGTAGTGTATTAATTATTACCCCACTACTTAAGCCATTATGTACTGCAGAATAAAATTTTGTTTAATAAATACTATTATATATAATTCTCCAAAAAATATCTACTTTTTTCCTTTAATGTTTCTTAGCGATTTCGCGATTGAGTTCACATTTACCGTGTGAAAGGCTGATATTTTAAAACCAAATAAGTTGACTTTAAATTGTGTTAAACTGTTTAAAGTCAACTATTTTGTTGTTGAGTTTTCAAAAGACAATCTTTTATATAATGTATGTCTAACTTAATCTACTAATATGTAGAAGTTGCTGACAAATTAAAGAAGCTTATAAATCCTGTCTTATTTTTTAGTCTTATTTTTAAAACGAAAGCACAAAAAAAAACGAGACTAGTTTAAGGCTAAATTCAATTTTGTTTATAATAAATTATGAAAACAGTAACAAATCCTAACATTGCTCATTCATGGGTTCTAAGAATACATATTATTCATTGTTGATAATAAAAATTTATAACAATCAGCACATAACATAAGTCAGCGTTTCAAATGACAGAGTTCTCACCCTAGCACTGACAGTCTTCTATATATATCATAAAAAATAAATCTTACTTATAAACATTAATGCTGAGGAGTACTGCCAGTTTCCTAAAAAAAAGCATGGTCAGCAATAAAATGAAATTAACTTTGTTTTAGTTTTTTCATTAAATATCATATATATCGAGCTTGTTTCCTTAGCTTATCAGAAATAATTTTAATGATCATTCCATATATGGAATATATTTGTTGTTTTTATAAGGTCACGCAAAGGTTATTGCATTAGGCCTTAAGTAAAAATATTATAAAAATAATATAAAGAGCACAAGTATTGAAAAATAAATAATATTGAACACTGTTTGAATCAATGATTAGGTCAAAAGTATGAGATTAAAAATTAATGGTTAGATTAGGATAGTAGGATGAAAAATAAAAATGCGGTTAAAAACAAAACTTATTTATTATTTCTTATAACGAATATTTAAATCTCAGTATCTAATAATGTGTATTTTGTAGGAAAAGCGGAATTGACCGGTGATAAAGACTTAATGACCGAATATGGTCTACACCATACCTTAACTAAATTTAAGGATAAGAAAGTAAAAGAATCTTTAGCGTCATTTCTGCCAAATTTACCGGGAATTGCGGATTGTATGACAAATATTGTAAGTAAAATAAAATTATTTTTATTATAAAAATTAAATTATACATTAATTTTTTGTTTGTTTTTGTTTTAAACTAAAAGGAAAACAGCACATTGCGAAGTGTGATTGAGAAGCCTCCCATAGTGGGCAAGGAACTGTTACCTCTGACGTCAGTGCAATTAGCTGGTTTTCGTTTACATCCGGGACCAGTAAGTAATTTGTAGTATATAAAGTTTTATCAATATCGCTTTAAGATTATAAATGCTAAAGTTTTCCTGCTTTAATTGTTGTACTTGTTGTAACCCAAAAGGGATCTGTAGAGCAGGAAACATGAATAGGTTGCAAGTCGTATGTGTGGAGGTATTTATAAACACATCCAGCCCTTTTTGTGTAATACATTTATTTGTTGCAACTAAGTATTAACAAACGAATTTTATAATTTAAATATGGGATAAGTTCTGTTTATTTATAGAATCCTGTAAGGTGAAAAAATAAATATTTTAAAACATAGTTTATAAGCCACGTTTGATCACTATTGGTCACATAATAATTGAAAATATTAGCTTTTTCCCGGAACTAAATTTTTTTTAACTTAATAATTTTAATTGAGATATTGAATATTATTTTCACTATTGTTTTATATGATGTACACTAATACCTTGATTTGCGTCGTTAATTGGATTCGACAAAATGCGACGCAAATCGAATCATATTTTTCCATATATTTAATTTCCAAAAATATTCTGAATATTATTATATTATATAATTATATTATATAAATATTATATTATATAAATATTAAATTATATAAATATTCTCAGAATATTTTTCTAAAATAGCGTTTGGCTCAGTGATATTTTTCTATAATTCTGATTTTCTATTCAAATGGATAGAAGAGATTCCATTTTTACAATTAATGGACTTCTATTTTTTATAACTTGTTTGGTTTGCAAATTTGTGACAGCTTTTTCATAGTCATTTATCTTGTCCGCATCACGATTACAAATTGTTCTTACAGTAGTTTTTTTTCCAAATTTAAAACGTTTTAAAATGTCTAACTTTTGTTCTAAGGAAACTTTTTTTTCACTTTTGACACTTTTTTGTACTTTATAACCAAAAATTTACCGTTCCACTTGAACACACAAATGTAAACTGAAACCTTTTAACTAAAAATTTAATACATGTAAATTCTCTTTTAAAAAATGTGATCTACAAGAAATAAAAATGGAATCCCCTCTGTATGCATGTACTAAGAAACGACGGAAATGGAAACACTGCCGACGCAATCCGAAGTCAATATTTATTTTCTTTTCGTTTTATATGATGAATTAGCGTAAGATTCTTCATATATTGTCTAAGTTAGGTTAAATTATGACGGTCATCAT